AGAGCCTGTCTGTATAATGTCTTGTGACGTCCACGGCCTACCCCAGTTACCACTACTGTGCATGTGTGTCAAGGACAGAAAGGTAGATGTGGCAGAGGAAGGTGTCAAAGCAGTTTGGAGAGAAAAACAAAGCTTCCTAAAAAACGATTAATCGATTATTAAATTAGTCATTGATTATTTTAATAATCGATTAGTAGTCGATTAATCGACTAATCGTGGCAGCCCCATCTGCAGCCAAGATTGCTTTAAATATGAACATATTTAACAACAGACCTAAAATAGATCTCAGTGCAACAATCAGAAAATTTCATTATTCTTTATATTCTARTTTATTTTCAGGCATGTGTGGTTGTTGCACATAAACACAAGTAAWACACGTCACAGGGATATCCATGAAACGTTTTCACAATCATTCAGTTCACACACCGGCACCGGAGGYCCCCAAACTGGACCGTGATGCTTTGTGTTCGGCAAAGATGGAGGCATTTGCGTAAAGGTCCATGTGGTGACTACCAACTGAGCAACAGGGCAGCACAGAGGAGCCGCTGTTAGAGCTGTCATCTTGTAGAAAAAGGTCTAGCATTCAAAACTTGGCTGTAGCCTTTCGTGAATGTTGGTTTAATGGGAAAATTAATTGTTCTTAGGTGTGCGTGTGTGGACAATGTGTGTGCGCTAATTCGTCTCTATGTGATGGACTGGTGACCTGTCCAGCATGAAACTTACCACCCTGTTAGCTATACTCACCAGCTACCTGAAACCCTGACTAAAACAAAGCAGGTGTAGAAAATGAATCAAGTAGAAATTTGATCATTTGCACATGGATTTTTTTTTGTTACATATTATTCAGCCTTACTTTAGGAGTAGAAAAAGCGTGGACTGCATTAATATCCAGACCCCTCTCAATCCTGTGCCATCACTCACAGCCTCCCAACTCTTCAGATACAAATCTGGTGTGAGAAGATACCCTCCCTGTCAGRGAAATCTGACAAAACAAGCTGTGTAAAGCTCTTAACATCAGCCTTATATAGAGATGACTTTTCACACACAGCTGTTAAGAGTAAGCCGAGAGCTCAAATGAGACGAGATGGTTTTTATCTGGAGCTAAACATCACTAACCTACAGCAACAGCTCTGCCTCTTTACAGAAACAGATGGGTATGCATGTCAGAAAAGGAGTAAAGCTGTCGGGGGTCTGACCTCCAGCACTGCCAGAGAGGCTCTTCATCTTCTGACAAACCAGAAATGAACAGCAGAACCTGAAGTCCTGCTCTACCTAGAACAGTGTCTAATAAGCTAAAACATTTACTCAACTCCTGGCAGCCTCAGTGTTTAGTAACACAGAGATTGTTTGATTCACAAAAAAGCAACAAATTATACAAAGGTGCATTATTATGCATGTATATGTAGCATTCTTTCACACTGATGTATGTTTTTGAAAAGTTTTTGATTTAGAGGCAAGGAAAGGTTTGGTTAACCATTAGCCTAGCCTGGACAAAAACTTTTGTCTTTTTTTCAGTAATCTGTACTCTGTTGTCACATCTGATAAGGCACTAAATATTGATAATTATTACTCAGAAACATAAATATAAAGTTGACTGGACAATCCCTTTAACACAATAAGATGCTGAGAACTGCAGGGACTGAAACCACCTTCTTGAGGGTTGAAATTTTTCTTAACATTGCTCAGTCCAACCCAAGTTTACCTCTGAGATCTCCAACCCTGAATGCTTGAATCCATTACACCAATGAAAAGTATTTGCCAGTGTAAATTTATAAACTTCACATATTAATGTCCAAATTGTGTTCTCATTATGACCCAACCTATAATAAGGCAACTAGTGAATTAGTGTAACAGTTTTCAGTGGTGTTGCCTCATTACTGTACAACAGTATTTTTTGTTTGTGCTTCTTTAAAATGTACCTTTATAACCTCCTCCTATTTGTAAGGTTGAGTAACAAATAAGAACTTCATTTAAATGTTCTTTTTGTACTCCCAACCACTTATTATTGACTCATCTCTTTGTAGAGCAGCTGGGAAACATCAGCTTCAATGTAAGTGAGCTGCTGGGAGTAAATAAAGGTGAAGTGTCTTTTCTCTTGCTCAGGGGGCACTTTTGATTAACAGTTTAGTAGAATGAACACCGTTGCTTAAGAAAACACGGCTAAAATAATGAGGAAACTAATCCTTTTAAGTACCCACAAGACAGGAAATGTCTGAACAGTTTTTAATACTAGAATCATCCCTTTACCATTTTGTTTTCATATCCCCCTTTAAATCAACCTCAGCTCGGAGAGTTTGTCTCGATTGTATTCCCTGTGGGTTTCCTCTCTGTCATTTTTCTTACCTACTCCAACCTTTCTTCTTTCTATCATATTCTGATAAAATCAGGGATACAATTAGGTATTTGCCTCCTTTATTTGCTTGCCCTATGTAATGGTCTATTCATTTTCCAGCAGTCACATAACTAAGGCAAGGCAAGACATTTTCTCTGTCAAGTTCGATCTAATCTGACCCTTTGTACACAAATAACCTGGGCTGGGTAATGAAATACCAAACAATTATCTATTCAAAATGATTAATATGGACTCCACTCACTGTGGGCTCTTGTATATGTGAATGATAGAGATTAGAGTGGGCCACAAGCCCAGAGATTCTCCACGTATCTTGAACAACCGTGACTGTAACCTGGCTTGGATCACRGGTTGCTTCTGCCTGCCAGAACTGTGCCTGGTAAAAGTGTGTTGAGACCATGTTACACTGAAATAACCAAGAAAWGAGAAAATTGACTAATTATGTACTTAAGAAGGCAAAAGGGTCTTGTATAAAAATTAGGGCTGGCACTGGCTCAGAAGCAATTGGACACACACCTGTGGAGAACAGAACAGAATGACAAAATGGCCCAAGGCATCTCCACGCTCCGTRCATGTCCAACCACTGACACTGTCCTGGCTTAGGTTGATATTTTGCACGAAACATATGTGGCCTGACAAAATTATAAATTACCCAGCTACGCAAAAACAGGGAGGTCTGAGAGCTGCCTTTTAGACAGTCGGGTTCAAAGCCAAGACCATCACTTCCATACCTCTCTGACCTTTAATGACATGCGTACAAACCATCGAAAGGGCTTCKAAAACCTGGAAAAATCAGAATCACTAACTATTATCATATTAGTTATGAGAGCATTGCTTGGTTTTAATGGGGTTGAAAAAAAGTCAGAAGGGAAAATGGATAAACAAAGACATGTAAGCACATAGACCTGAAAAACACACAAGGTTGGATGCACTGTGCTGAACCATTAATTGCTGTGATTGCTGCTTCATTATCTCCTCAGTTGTAGACAGCAGGAATTGCCTCCTGCTAAGTTATCGTTTCCACGCAGAACCAGACTTCATATGGACACACACAGCGCACACTGAGCTGCTGACTCCATGCTAAAAGAATGTGATCAAAGCAAAGAAAAAAAATTAAGACAAAAAAAATAAATATAAGCAGCTCAGTGGTGCAGTTGGTAGAGCTGTTGCCTCTCAGCGTGAAGGTTGATCGAATCTCAGCCGGGAACCTTTCTGGGTGGAGTTTTACGTTTGTTTGCTTTTTAATATTAAGGCTTTCTGTCAGTGCAAAAGATGATAGTCAAAACAATAGATAAAAAACAGGTGAAAACAGACAAATGTTGGCTGAAGTGATGTTAAAAGTGTTTGTGCRGTGTTGGATTGTAAGGAACATGTGAACAGGGTTGGCACATGAGAAAATAAAGTGTCCATAACCACATAAAGTTAACATTCACAATAAAGGGTGACAAACAAAATGAACTACAGCATACACAGGAAAACAAAAAAAAAAGATTTTATGTTCGTCATTCATGCACACATCTTTAAATGTTTTGGACACACTTGTACCTGCATCTGTAGTGGTCGATGTTGAAGCTGCCAACTTTACATTTAATCTTCGTATAGACATCCTGCACATCTACAGAAGCACTCAGGTCTTCCAGCTCACTGAGGACACAGATTTCTGGGGAAAAAAAACAGGTTCAGGGTTTTTACAGTTTCAGATGCCGAAGTCAATAAGAAGGTCCACAAAACAACTCAACAATGAATTATTATTAAATTTATAATGGCATACTTTTCTTTTCAACTTTGCTTTGTTTTTTTGTTTGTTTTTTCTTTTGGTAAATCAGTAGCAGAAACTGACTTAAACTTCTTGCAGTTTTGTGCCTCTGTGTGAGTAAACTTCATTTTGGTTGGGAAGAACAGCGAACAACCTCTGAGCTTGATTCAGTTACTGTGGTCAAATCCTGCACAGCAGCACGGTTTACATTTAGTTTTAGGCTGAATTGCTTTTTAGGCAAATTAGAATTTAGTTCTGTGTATGAGAATCAAAGCTAAAAATTGTACAGATTTGTCTCCATTGTGAACCAATATGGCTGCCTATATTTAACAAACATGTACATTCTGCTTGTTTGTAGTTTTGATTTGCAATATATCAGTCAGTTTAAAGACTAAATGTTTGAAACTTGGTCAGGAATTGTTCAATAAAATAATAATTATTATTTTTTTATTTCATGATCTTCTCTACTGCAAGGCATATAGTATTTGGAGATTTACACAGGGCAACAAATTATAGGAGCTAAAGGTAATAAGTATAAGATTTTTTTGGGGAAAAAAATAATTACTCAAAAAATATTCATACCTCCAAATCAAATTCCAAGTAACATCTAAGTTTTGTAAAATACTGCATTGCTTTTGTTTTCGTATGAGAAAACATTAGGATTTTTAAGGCAAACATGCCAAAAACAAAAAAAAGTATTACAAAAAAGACAAGTTTTATCTATTGTCAGGTTAAGTGTTATGAAAATTAATTAATCCAATCCAGTCTTATTCATATAAATCTTTAAAACTCCTCAAAGGGGACAAGGTACTGTACAATACAGCACAGTAAAAACAAATAATAAAAGATAAAAACTGAATAAAAATAAACTTATAAAACCATAAAACTCAGCATGCTAAGACGTAGCAAAAGCCAAAGAATAAAAGTGGGTTTTAGGCGAAGATTTAAAAGCAGCTAAAGTGGAGGCCTGTCTAATTTCATATAAAGACAGATAAAAATCAAGCTGTTTTCCCAAAGTCTTGTGTGTTTCTGTGTGCAGATGTATCCACCCACTGCAGGCTGAGTGAGTAAGCTTCATAGGACGAGTTTTACTTTGTAGTGAAATGAGTCTGAGCTGCAAAACTCAGCTCTCATTGTTTCCACTGAGAAAGTCCCACAATCACAGGCTAGCTTGGGAAAATGGGCTCAGTGCATGTGAAACTGTGCTTGTTGTCATATTATTGCCTTGTGGTGGCAAAAAAAGTAGTGTCCCACCAGAATATTAATAATGAAAAAAAAATTAGTTCTTTCTTTTATTTATTGAGGAAAAACTTTTCTCTGAAGCAGTTTCTTCCAGAAATCAATGATTCAAACCAAGTGCTGATACTGATGAATGTGTTTTCTGCACCCATTCAGAGTAAACTCATAATCTCTGCTTTAAATGCTTCATCTTAAAAGAAAGTGTTTCCAATGATTTGTGCCTAAAGCAGAGCCTTTGGAGACAAATGTAGCAAACACATTTATTCTTCCAAAACTGATTTATTACTAGTGTCTGTTAAACATTTCTTTTATTTATCTAAAAAAGATTATTTTAACTTTACATTAAATCACAGCATATTACCGACTTGTGGTGTATTTGACACAGTCTGTATCACATAAATATTTCTGGTGAAATATTTGAAGAATTATACACATTTCAAATCATAAAACTCAAGTGGTAAATATTAAGTTTAAATCCAAAGTACTTCCTGTTTAGAGGTGTGAGTAAATCGTTCTCCTTCAACATCTAAAGAAGCTGAGCGATCCTGGTTAAATTAAAAAGCCACCAATTAAAGGTAAATCTAGCCTTTCATCACTCAGTAAATCTTAGAGACTAGAGGAACTTTACTCATGATTCAGCACCCATATATTTATTTGTCTTTTCCTTCCCTCCTTTCAARTGTTCAGCATGTCACAGAGACTAAAGACCAGGAACACACCAAGTGTTGATGAAGTGAGATGGGAAACAGAAAAGGTGTTCACTCTTTCACATAAACTGGCAAAATTTCCTTCAAACGATTGTCAGAAAGTTTTGTCCACCTTCTTTACAAAATATACAATAGCCTGTTTTTATTTTCACACCATCTGTGTTATCCATCTTTTGCTCCTTCAATCCTGCTGCAACTGTCTCGGTCCTCCACAGTCAATATTAAATATTCCGTTGGAGAAATCTTGTATACACACGCATGTTCACAACTGCTCACAAACAGGTGCTCTGATCCGAGGGTTCTGACTGGTCACTGAGTGTGTATATATGTCTATGTGTATATACAGACAATATTTATGAATGTAGGCATGTATGTATGTATATCTTTATATATGTATGGGTATGTGTGTATTTTTATATGCCTTCTATGTATTTATCCATTTATTTTTCAGGTGAGCGGACAGATGTTGGGTGTGTGGTCCTGTGTTTTGTTGGTGTATATTTAATACAATCCATTAGGATTGAAGACTGAAATAGCGATTTCGCTATTTCAGTCTTCCTATCTTTCTAATTTCTTCTCTCTCTCTATTTTGTCTTCACAAAAAATAAATAAAATAAAATAAATAAAATAAAAT